CGGGACCATGCACTTGATATTATGATATTTATATATTTCAGCAATTCTCATAATTTTTGCAAAAGGCTGTATATATATATATATATATATATATATATATATAAATTGAATAAATTGAAGAAAAAGGCACGCAACTTGCAACTATTATTCCTACTCTTTATTTGAACGTTTCGGCACTTCGGCCTTCTTCTTTTATATATATATATAAAACTTCCACTGCAAGCCATTGTTTAGGCGGAACTGCTAGAGTTTAGTTAAAATATTCCCGATCCCATGAGCCTCTGGTGTACTACGATAGTTCCATTATTTTTATGATATATTAGTCTCTTTGTACTCCACTTCGGTCTCAGCTGCGCCTTCTTGCATCAGTAATCCATTATCTCCTTTCAAAGAGACAACATCCACTGAGGCTACGAGGGCCTATATTGTATATCGACATTAACTATAGGTCTTTCGCCGCCTTTTTACTGTTTGGTCAATATTATTTTTCAAAAGAAACAACAATGCTGTATAGTATACGGAAGCTTTTAAAAGAGGATGGATGTAAAAGGTTTTGCAATTTATTGTAATTTTCAATGAATACGGAAGTAAATAAGTGATAGCAACTGATACTTAGATATTTTTTAGATATCTTATTTTTTACAATACAGAAGGAGGAGACCCMGGGAACTTCTATATTTTGTATTTATTGACTTTCTACTGGTTCCCTGAAAAGCTCTTTAAAGACAACTGTGCATGCGATACCGCGCTTTTCTTACAGAAAAGCTGTTTTTCTGATGGTGGTGATATTTTTGATATTGTTGTTTTTTCGTAATAAAAGTTTTCGCCTTTGGCAAGTGTGCATTAGTCTTGCTGCAAACTACAACATAGAGGATATGTAAAAAAAGAAGTCTTGATCAAGGTATCCCACGCTTGATATACGCTCATTTCAAAAAACGTTGTCGGAGATATGCGAACGGCAATTGCCCTATTTCATTATGACGTCACAGTATGCTTACATCGGAAAACGATGCTCAAAAACAGTGGAAATTTGGACCCATTTATATTTTCTACTTAAGTAGAACCTCAATGAATCGCGTTTTGATATATATCATGTATAAATGATTGTTTATGTACATTTTATTTGATATGCAGTCACTCTGATCCCTTCTGGCGACATAATCCTTAGCGTTAAAACATTAGAATGTTTTGATGTGACGTCATAGTCGAACGGCGATTGTATGAACATATCGGACTATGGTTGACCTGTTTAACCTACAAAATTTCATTTGCTAACTTACCTTGCTTATTGAAAATGCAGACTAAATAGAGCCGATGTTTACTCAGGCATGTTAAGGCCTGGCTAAGCATTGAAACGAGGCTGTACTTTATCGTGTTATAACACAAAGGGTTTTCAA